ACATAACCCTAAACATAACCCTAAACATAACCCTAAACATAAACATATCTATGTGCTCCAGTAGGCAATAGGTACGTGCAACAGTGCTCTTTCTCCAATTTTTTGGATGTTATATATGTTTGGAAAAATTACGAGCTTCATTCACTCTCCTTCTCCTGCCTCATCCCGTCTTCTTGCCTTGTTCAATTCTTTACCCCAATTGTTCCTTCCTCCACTGATGATGTTAAGGATAGACGCATGTCACCCCCTTCTTTCTTGCTCTCTCTCTGGCCCTGATACACTCTGTCCACCTTTCCTCGTTCTTTTTCTCCTTGCGAGGGATTCGACATAGGTGGATGCACTCCCGAGACCCCCTCGCCCCGTTCGTCTTGTCCTTTCTTCCTTTCACGTGATCGTGTATAAAAATTTCCACCATGATGAGTTTGTAACTCTCGCAATGACATTGATGCGAAAGTGATGGTATTTCCATAACTGCCTGAACCTATATCCCTCCGTCCTCCTGCACTCCCTTGATAGGAGGATGCCAGTCTACCCGGAGCATGATCTGATAAAAAGAAAATGTGGGTGGACAAGAAGAAAATCGCAACAGAGGTATGATAAAGCCAAGAATCAACAAGCTTTACACCATTGATTTTTTCTAGTCTGATGGAAAGAAAGGGAAAAAAATGAAAAATAAAAAAGGCGGGGGTACGAGCGCACAATTTGTGGTCGGCAGAATTCAATTGCGATAGGGTGTCTGTATTGAGTACGAAAAAATACCTGCACGAGGCGTTCCGTAGAGAGAGGCTCCTCGCTCTCGAATGAGCCGGGGATCAGTGCGGTCTTGGATCAGAGGAGACCGCATGAGAGCAGGCGAGGCCTGAGTGAGGAGAAAGAGGCAGGGAGTGTTTGGTAGGATAATGCGAAAACCAAGGTTGGTCAAAGGAGGTGAATGCGAAAAATGAAAATGCGAAAATAAAGCAATGCTGAAGGGAAATGATGGGAAAGTCGAAGTAATCGGAATATTCACTCATAGATACCCGAGTAAAAGCAGAAGAGAAATGCAATTTTTGTCCGTGGATGTAATGAAATATTGCACTTACCATACTACGATCTGTCCGAATGACAGGTGCAAAATCCTCAATTGATTGCGCCCGAATCCTGGCATCACCTTTGCCTTCCTCCGTCCCGGCCTCGACCCTCTCATAGCCAGCGTAGGAAGGAAAGAGAAGCCAAGGTACGGAGCCGTTGTAGACGGCGGTGCCAAAAAAGAGGAGGAGCATTCCTCCAAACTGCAGCCAGGAGTAGACCGTCCAGGCCTCTCCAAAGCGGCCGTACGTGAAGACGTAGTAGATGAGAAGGTCCGTGCCTGAGGAGAGAGAGTGTCTGCTTTTGAGTTCCTCGGGTGAGAGGACACCAGATATCACAGCCGTTCTCACTACTCCGTAGTGATTGTGGATGTGTATGGGCGTACGTAGCCTTCTTTCAACGAACAATCGAGTGATTTACGTTACACCACTCCCTTGAAAGCCCTATACTATTATGTAAGGGTACCCCTCCTACCCTTACCCCAGACAGAGATGGGCCGGAAGTTGTCGAGGATGGCGTGCCAGACTGAGGAAAGAAAATGCGTGACGTAGATGGCAAAGATGTTGTAGCAAGCTACCTGGAGAAGAGAAGAGGAAATAGAAGGCATCAGATGGGGGAGGGACGCATGAGTGTCCTACGAAGTGTTGATAATGGAGTGGGGGACTTAAAGTAGCAAAGACCCGTGGCCTTGAAAAGCCATGAAAACACGGGAGACGAGAGAACACCGAGCAATGGGGAGAAGAGTCGCAATCGCACCGTGAGGAAAAATATAAGGAGGACTGCCTGTAGCGGTGCGCTATTGCGAACCATCGCCAGCGAGTCGAAGACATTCTCCATAGAACCGCCCTCATCGGTTCCGGGAAGATAGTAGGCTGAGGGAAAGACGACCAAAAGCATGAGGATCATGCCCCAGAAGCCCTGTGGAGGAAAAAGCGAGTATGTAAAGCACCAGGGAGAAGCAGGAAGCGGCCGGAGTGGTAGATTGCGCGAAAGGCATTAAAGCCAAGGGAGATGGGGTGCTTGCTTCGCTGTGAGTTCTCTCAACTCTAGCAGTGTAACAGGGTGTCGACTTTCTTTTCTCACCTCCAACCCAACCAGCACCATCGGCGGGAGGCTTTCCACTGTCATAACCTGCGTAAATCAACAGTAAGTATTGAGCGACAAAAAGTGAGACATCCTACCGTTTCAACTTCCTTGTTACCCATCCTCCCAGTGTCTTCTACCTGACGACTGCTGAACCCCCCTCTCCTTCCCTCCCTTTCCCGCTCCTTCCGTACCTTCTCCTCAAACACGTATTGAGTGCCCTGGACCAGACACGACAAAAGGATGAAACCAATACCCACACGGGGGTCTCGATTGTCTGCGCAAAAGGAAGTAGGATGGAAGAGGGGGAATTTGCGAGGAGTCGAAGGTAAGCACAGACCGAAAGAAGAAAACAGAGGGAGGAAAGGAAGCACAGCGCATAAATCTAAAAAAAAGGGAGAAGATAACACGTGCGGCACTGACCAACAGTATTTTTGTGATCGAAGAAGGTGGTGGAGGCCACAAGTACCATGGCCACAAGGTTGATGCTAACACCGAGCCACATGTGCGGGGCGAGATGGTCCTTCAATACGAAGGCCTGAGCGAGAAGGGGAGGGGGCAAGATAGAGGAAAGGAGAGACAAAGGAAAGGCATGAGGTGCCGGAAGAGGGGATCTAAGTACGTCTTCGGCTTTTCTCGGAGTTGCCAACTATCTCAGCTTTCTTCACATCTGTCTGCTCCCTTTCTCCTCCTGCCCTCTTCTCCTTCCAGTTTTCTCCAGCACCCAAACCTTGAGAAGGGCTGTGATGATGATGACCGTGCATCGTACGAGCTGATAGACGGATACGGTAACATAGAGTAGGCCCGCCTAGGAAGCAGATAGAAAGGGAGTGTTTGGAAAGGAGGTGAGGAGGGTTGAGGAGAAGATTTAACCGCTCATAGCTGTTTGCGAGTGACAAAATAAGGTCACAGGACTGGCGATTGAATTTGTCGTTTCCCTCCCGCTATCCGTAATCATTTTTCTATCTTCCCGTCTGCGATGCCCTCAACCATCCCGTTTCGACCCCGTGATCCTCCTCTCCTTCCTTACTTTCGCAAAAGCTGTCCCCACGAGGTCGAAGAGGGAGGGAGCGAGGACAAGCAGACAGAGACGCCAGTTCAGCGGTTTGGGCTCGTCCGATGGAGAGGGAGGGTAAAGACGAGCGTAGACGCGCATGGCTGGAAGGGCTGGGGAAAAGGCGTCAAGATGCGAAGAAAGGGTTGATGAGAGCATCTTAAGAGGAATTAAAAAAGGAGAAAGAGTTGAACTAACCCATCGCCATGGCCATGAACATGAGAAACGTTGTAGTAAGAGGCTTTTCAAACGGTTTTCTCGTCCCGTCCGCGCCGACTGAAGTCATTTGATAGGCGACCTGCAGCGGGAAGAGCACACGAGAATGATCGGAGCTCGATGAAGTTAAGCTGCCATGTCTGGCGAGGTGTCTCGATTTTTAATAGCTCCTCAATCTTTGTACAAGCATAGCGTGGTCGTGCATGAACTCCACCTCCATCTCCACAACCCCCCTCTTGCTTCCATGCACGAACAAACCTTGATGGTTATAGAGCTGAATGTTCCCGTAAACAAGCCCATCAGGAAAACACTCATGCCGGGGCCATCACAGCCCAGAGTAGTGTGGCCTTTGGCCATGTTGCAAGTGCCTCCTTACTAGTCTAAGCAACAGGTTGCCAAATGAACTCAGAACTACCGCTCGTCTTGTTTGACTTTGGCGCCGTAGCTCCAAGGAAGTTTTTTCGCTCTATCGAGATCCGACCTTAACAAGTGCTGCAGTTCAGTTTATTTCTTTTCTCTGGCCTCTGCTGTAAGATGTGAAATAAAATATACTAACCCTAACCCTAACCCTAACCCTAACCCTAACCCTAACCCTAACCCTAAC